CCCTTGGTCATTCTGTTTCTCTGTTTAGGTAAGGAAATATCTCTGAAACAATGACCCAATGGGTTGCAGGTTGTCTAGTACTGTACTGTTTTTAATTTCATGGCATAACATTACCGTAAATGGACAAACTGTCCTTAAGCCAAAAAAAAAAAAAGTTATCTATGAAAAAATCGTATGCTTTAGTGACAGCTCATATGAAAGGCTTAAGCATACTTTGTAGTACTACAAAGGCAGTCCTCTGAATAAACTGCATAATCAAGATAAGATAAAAAAGATAAATAAGATCTTTTCCATGTGAAAGATCTCTTAATAAGCTAGAGACCAAAAGCATCCATGATCTAACTACTGTAGCTGATCTGGATTATTTTATTTCACAGAAAGTCAGGAGTTTTTCCATTGAAATAGTGGTACATTACAGTAATGCAAAAACATGAAAATTAGCCAGAACTACTCAAGTGGGTAGAGGTTATCTGCTTAGGAATGCTGGCTTCACATACATGATGTCAAGGTCATTTGAAGCAGGTGTGAATTGGTTAGTTTGTGTAATGGATTTTTCTGTTCTACTCTCTCATCTACAGGTAGTCCTTGACTTACGACCATTTGTTTAGTGACTGTTTGAAGTTACAACGGCACTGAAAAAAGTGACTTAGGACTGGTCCTCGCACTTATGACCGTAGCCACATCCCCACAGTCACATGATCAAAATTCAGGCACTTAGCAACAGGCATGTATTTATGATGGTTGCAGCATCCCAGGGTCACCTGATCACCATTTGTGACCTTCCCAGTTGGCTTCTGACAAGCAAAGTCAATGGGAAACCATGTGATTCACAACGAATGTGTGATTAGCTTAACGACCACTTGATTCACTTAATGACTGCAATAATTTGCTTAATGATTGTGGGGAAAAAAGTTGTAAAATCGGGCGCAGTCATATGATGCCTCACTTAATAACTGCACCACTTAAAAACAAATTTCCTGGTCCCTATTGTGGTTGTAAGTCAAGGACTACCTGTATATCCCCTCTACTAGCCTGAAAAGCCTCTCCAAAGAGCCACCCTCCACTTTTTTTCCTGCCTTGCAGTATTGCCAGATCAAGTGGAAGGATTTTAGACTTGAGTCAAACAATGAAATAACATTGATTCAATCTCACTGCCTGGGGCAGCAAAATTTAGCATATTGGGGTCAAATGTCTAGTGGATTTGGCTTAGATTATTAGACCATATGTTCCATATGCCTGGAATAAGTATAGAATAAAATGAAAATCAAAGTGTTATTTAGAACAAGAAACAGCAAGCAAGATTGTTTCCAACATATAGAACTAATTTTTGTGGAAGTGAGGGTCTGAAGGTCTCCTTTCAGGTTTTCCACATTAGGCTCCAAACTATGTAGTCCAATCTATTTTGCAATTCTTGTAAGATCTGTTATTTGCTTGCGTATTTATTCAATTTATATGTCGTTGTTGTAAGAATTATTTGATCTTGTACAGGTAGTCCTCGCTTAACAACAGTAATTGGGACCAGCAACTCCGTCGCTAAGCGACATGATCATAAAGCGTGATGTCACATGACCGCACCAACTTACTATGGCAGTTGTGGCAGTTCCAGTTCCAGTCATTAAGCGAATCCTGCACAGTTGTTAAGCATGACATCACAAGCCATTTGTGACCTCCTGCCAGCTTCCCTATTGACTTTGCTTGTCAGAAGCCAGCAGTGAATGTTGCAAATGGCAACCATGTGACTGTGGGATGCTGCAACCATCGTAACTGCAAGCTGGTTGCCAAGCACCTGAATTGCAATCATGTGACCGCAAGGACCCTGCAACGGTGGCAACACAAGAACTGGTTGTAAGTTTCCTTATTCAGTGCCGTCCTAACTTCAAATGGTTGTTGAACAAATGGTCAGTAAGCGAGGATGCCATTCTAAAGTGCTTCACAAAAATTAGATAAAAACATGAAGCGATAAGTACATTGATAACATGCAAGCACACACACAACATGCACAAATTAAACAGCCAGATCACTTGGCTGAAATTTTTCCTAGCCCACATTTTCAAAAAGGGATTAATTATACAGGCAGGAAGTGTCACTGACCTGAAATCTCCGCATGTCTCGAGGATTTCCTGCATTTTTTAGGCAGTTCTGGTTACATTTAAGAAAAAATTTCAAGAAGAACCTGTTGGAAAAGAGATAATTTGTTTAGTATACTCACCCAGTATTTGTTTTGCTTAATTAATAAAATCTATCTATTTGTGTATGCAGGCCAAGATCCATCTTGCCTCCTTCTAATTTCCTTAAATATAATTTTTTTTTAAAAATTCACAGAAACAATGCTGCTGAAACCAACTGCTGAAACCACAGCTGATTTGTGATCATCTTCTTTTCTTCAAAACTCTAAACACTGAGAACATGCAGGGAATAGCAAGAACCAATCAGTATTCACCTTCAACTGACCAATAGAACAGGGCCAAAAACAAAATCTTCCAATCAGGATCCTGCCTCTGAAACTTTCATAGATCCAGAATAATAAAATTCCTACCACCCTGATCCACACAGAATAAATTGCTAATCCCCCCTACCATTTTTAGATCATGTTTTTATTATTTGCAAACAAACAAACAACCCCTGAAGAATTGACGTGAGGAAGTTTTCCATGCGCAAAGCTGCCTTTCATTCTGCATTTAAATTTCTCTTGCAAGCTGTGAACAGGAAAGAATAGCATGTTGGCATTTCTACAACCAGGCACTTTTCCCAGTTTCTCCAACCATGGCTGCATTCTGCTACATGAGCTGGAACGGGAAAGAGAAATACATTCTCAACCCTGCCTACAGACAAGAGCAAAAGGCTGAAGCTCAGAGTCAGGACAAGAGTTCCTGCCATGGGAGAACAAACTGCCCACAATGTCTGTAGAGCTACAGCGCTGACAAACAAAAAGTCAGCTTTGTTCTGGTTTCAGACCAACTGGTATCAAACAGGAAAACAACAACTCAACTCTTGAACCTGGATGACAATGTGGGAATACCGGGGTTTGGAACTAAACTGGTGAAAAGAACCTTATGGAAGTGCTTAAATTCTAACATCTGTTTGTTGGTCTAGTAGGAGAAGCAAGATAGGGAATGTCGCCCACTTGTACTTCCCATGAAAGTGACTGGGAGGATTTCAATTTTGTGTAAATGGTTATGAATACACATCCCATATGTTAGAAAAGGATCAAGTGCATGGGGATATTGAACTATATACAGTATGACACACAAGATCAAGAATTCCACTACATGTTGTGGTCCTTTTAAGAAAAGAAGATATGGGTCTCATATTATAGGCTGGATGTAAAGGTGGAGTCTATGTCTGAAGCTAACAGTTAAAGTAATGAGAATAAGTCAATATACAGAAGTAACTGGGGCAAGAAAAGAGATGCCAAATAAATTCTGGGTGTGGTGAAGAGTGGGGAAATAGCCTTAAATATCTATATTAGGTATATATACTTTCTAAGAGCTCAGCCAAACAAAAGCTGAAAAAAGCCAGTTATCATGAAGCTCTCACATGGCAAGTTTTCTTTTAATTAGGGCTGTCATCACATTAAAGGTTGCAGTCAATTAGTTGTGTTACTTTTAACCTATTAATCAATCAACCCACTATTTAAAAGACACAAAGACACACTGCACTTTGCATTGTCTCAGTAAAGAGTGTATTCTAGGAGTCATCACTGTACCTAAGAGCAGAAATTTTGAAAATCTTTCTCCCTGCTGGAGCTAGCAGATTGTTTTCAACACCAACTACCCTATTCCACATCCCAAGTAAAGATGCTTTTAAATGCTGAACTTTGTACTTACTGGCTTAATCAGGAAGGTTGATGTGCAATAGACTTGGACCCTGACTAGGAATGGAACTTTTGAAGTTCCTCCCAAGAGAGAGAAAGTTTTAAAGATGCTTTTAAAAACATACCCATTCTTTTTGGCTTCTTAACCAAAAAAGCATTGTGGCATTTGCTATGATTAGCTATATGAATCTATATTTTATTGCAACTGCTTTACTTTGGAATTGTTGTTTAAAGATGCTTTTCTTTAAGAAACCATTTGATTAACAACGATAGAAAGCCATCGCTTTTGTAAAAAGCATATTTGATGAAGGCTGTGTGTGTGCATGTATGTGCATACGTGTATCAATAAAAATAATGATTTTTAAATAAAACTGTATTTTTCCAAACAGCTTTTAAATCAAGCTGAATCAAAACTCTTATCAAAACTTGCATGCTGAGCATTTGAGGAAATTAGCTGGGCCATCAAAATAAAATAAAGATGTGAAAAAACTGATACTTAACTTTGTTCTTAGAAGCCACAAATGTTTAAATGAAGAATATTTTATGTTCCTGACTCTGTAGAAATCACTGAAGTCATTTTATAACCCAGACACATTTCTTCAGAAACAGAAGATATATTTTACAAGCCAAAGAGATAAACAGCAGAAAGTATCTTCCTCAGTGTTTTGCATTAATGAGCCATAAAAACAAGAGCTTGAGGAACAGTTGGCTACAGATTCTGGACATTATCCATAAAAGTAAAAACAAATGGATATATCAAACTTATTTTTATTTTTTTAGAACTAAGTTAAACCATATAAATAAAATCTCAGTACAACTAGGAAAGGGTGTGACATATTTGGAATAATTGTTGATTCAAACATGTACAGTATAGGCCAATTTATTTTGAGCACAATCCATCAGGAAGGTCTTGTGCACAAGAAATAAATGCCATTGAAATAAATACAAACTTAAGAATATATCTTCCGTTCTCAAACTGGTCTCATTCATAAAAAAATAGACCAACGATGATGAAGTTTCTTGTTTGTTTTACATCTTATTGTAATTTTACAGAGACAACAGAAGAAAATTATTAACATTCATTTTAGAAGAGAATAACATATTTTGTCAACCTAATCCTTTATATGAATATTATTCATCTTGCAGAGGACAGACTGTTCAAACATTTTTTAAAAAATAATTAGAAAATTATTACATTTAATCTTGCTCAAGGACTTCAACCTTCCTCTTTTCTTGTTTACCAAACATAATTAAATCATCTGTAATATTCCCATTAAGATTCATATACAGATTTGTGGTTGAGAATATTAGACAATTTTACCTGCAGATCATTGATTTAATACACTTAGTACAAAGGCTCATCTAACTTTATTTAGAGGCAGGATTTTCCATACAGATGCAGGATAAGTATTTGGGAAAGGGAATCTCCAAATTAAAGCTCTCTCCCATTCAGAAAGAACACACCTGATTGGAATTAAATCAGTTCCCTTTCAATCATGTTTGAAGTCATATTTGGGCTTGCCCATCACTTTCATCATGTATTGGTATCTATTAACCCTTTATTTTCCACCAAATCTCTTGGACAGTGATTTCAAGGTTCTCATTCTAGGAGACCTGTGGGGCCTCTTGTTCGTTGCACACAATGCTTCACATCTACAAATGGAGAGGCCTCATGGGATATCTCTATGACTTTTTAGAGTGTTTTCAGGGTGTTGCTAAAAAATTTGTCTGTAAGTATATGACTTCTGCTTTCCAAATTCCTAATGGACTTTTGTTTTTCTTTTGCCATACAGAAGAGGATAACAAGGAAGAGGAAATGGTCTTTTCAAGCAATCAAGTCAAACATTTAAAAAAAAACTGAGAAGAGTTTAGTTGGTTGACTCATATTTATTTAGGGGGTCATCAGGAAAAAGAAACAACGTTCTTGACCATTTATCTCAGCTTCATGCTAAACTGGCATGATGAAAGTCATAGTTACAATTTGGAAATCTCAACATTCTTGAAATGTGGTTTTAAATATGTTCAAACAGTATGAAAAACAAAATAAAACTTTAAGCTGCATACTGTTTATTTGTGTATGAGATTTGTCTACTGCTTAAAACTAAAAGGACTGTAGGTGGCTTGCACTTACATATAGAACACAGTACATATAAATACAATAATAAGCTAAAATTTACTGAATGTGGCACCACTGGTTATAATTAATCCCGAAAGGCCTTCCAGAGAAGCCATGTTTTCACCTGCTTCTGGAAGGCCAGAAAGGTGGCCCACTTCTGGGGAAGGAGTGACAACTCACTTCCATATTGTTGCCAAGAATTGCCAACAATATTGTTCCATAATGTTGCCATGAATGTGTCTATCACGAGTGTGGGAGTTGAGCTAAGAGAGGTATTTTTCTTTTTCTTTTCCGTTACACCCATTTAATGTCATTTAAATACCAGGAAATATTTGAAATGGTTCAAAGAGAAATCAAAGTAACCAGCTCTGAATTTGAAGGGAAAAAAAAAAAAAGAGTACAATAATTGTGTACACACACATACGGCCCTAGCCAGCCTAATAGGGGACTGGAAAAGTTTTGTTTCCACTAAATTAAAGAAAGGTGTAAGTTGCTTGATGTTTGTCCCATCAAGCAAAGCCTGGTATCCAATAGCTGTAAACTGGCATGAGTTAGCTCTTGGGGGTGGGTGTCTATGGTGGGGGGAGAGCTTTCTCTCCTGGCCAGCTGCGAGAGGCTTGACTCTGAATGTGTAGAAAGAACTGTCAGCACAAATCCTGCCATCTAAAGTCGAGACAACTGCTTGCCACCAAGCAATGGTTTGTACTGGTGCCAAAATGGATTTGGGAAGATAAGCAAATAGGACATTAATTCTGCCAAAGAAAAATAGGGAAGGGAGAAGCACAGGGTTTTGTACATTGAGGATAAGCACTTGATGGCTCTCCTGTCAACAAGCCATCGTTTAGCTCGCCAACTATGAAGGGCATGGACATTAGATCCCTTTTGCCCTACACTGGCCCTGCCGTGTGGAATGCAGGCAGAATCCTGAGATCCCTCTGCTGCCTGCTGAAATGGAAAGCTTGACCATCTGTCAGGAGGCAAAGATGTCCCTGTCAGCTGATGCCTGCCCAGAGCCTCTGACAGGCCCTTATGAGGCAAAGTCTCTCAGAAGCCCTTGTTCTTTGGGGAAAAGGCTGCTTTGCCCCAGAGATTTACTGGAGGATTCTTCAGAGTTTTCCAGAATGTAGAAGCCAAGCAGCTGACCATTTTGGCCTGCCCTTCCCTAAAGGAATAGGTTACCAAGAAGGGGAGGTAGGGAGATGGATGGAACAGTTAAAAATAATTTTAACTCAGAGGCAAGC